GGAGCGCCGCCGCACTTCCCAAGCGGCGCACTAGCGCAGTGCGCCACCGGGCCGGCCCCCTAGCCCTAATCTTAGCCCTAGCATTTATCCTAACCCTGAATAACCCTGACCATACCCCTAAACCTAGCTCGAATCTAGCGTTAGGCCTAACTTGACTCTAACCTAACTCTAACCCTATTCCTAGGTCTATTCTTAACCCTACCCCTAAACCTAACGCTAATCCTAAAAATAACCCTAACCCTACTCCTAAATGTGCCTCTAACCCTAGTCCTAGCCTTCAACCTAATGCTAAATCTAAGTGGGGGTTGAAAATGAGCCCAATGAAACTTCCCTATTTACTCTATTGCCCCCAGGCCAAATGCATCCAGGTGAGCAGGAGAAAATGGGGCGAGGAGGGAACCTCAGCCTCCTGCTGCAGAGGCGACTTTCAGCATAAATCATCGCCTTCCATAAGAAGGCCAACAGGTTTTCTAACAAAGAATCTAAATGGAACCTTCCCTGAGATAAGGGCACACAGCCGTGTTAACACTCTCAAAACAGACAGCAGTCACGAATGTCGGGGATGGAAGGGCTGCTGGATTATCCCCCAAAGCCCCTCGTTTGACAGAGAAACAGAGAGGTATAGTGACTTGCCTGAGGCCCCTTGGGGGACTAGAGTCCCAACCTGTGCTCCCCTCGGCAATGCCAGCATTTGTCAAGTGTGGTGATCAGGTCAAATATTAGATCAGGTTATCTCCAGGGTCTCTTATGAACTGCCCCATCACACAACTCCACGGGGCACTGTTCATTTTGCGTTATGTGTGGACAGCATCCTGTCCTCCATGGGATGACATTTACATGACAGCACACGTGTGAGGTCTTGCCTGGAGTTGGGCAGTGAAAAAGCCCTTCTAACACGGGGAAATTGGAATTTATTCTAAAATATGGGACTGTCTCGTAGAGCCCAAGCTGGGCAGGAAAGTGGCTGAGCCTTAGGAAGGGATTAGAACCAGGACCTGGGCAGTGCTGGTCTCTGCCCCTCTCTCCACATCTGCCTCATTCTAATCTCTCTGCAGGCTGATTTTCTTGGCGTATTCCATCTTTCCCTTCTAAGCCTGCCTGTTATCCTGCCGACAATGGTACATTACCTTCCTGTATCACCAGCTGTATTAGTCCGTTTTGTGTTGCTGTAACAGAATACCTGAGACTGGGTAATTTATAAAAGAACAGAGGTTGATTTGGCTTATGATTCTGGGACAGCTGCACCTGGCATGGGTCTCAGGCTGCTGCTTTTTTTTTTTTAAGACATATTTATTTATTTATTTTCAATGGACAAGACTGGTTTATTATTATTTATTTATGTTTGCGATTTAAATTTATTTAAAAAATTTTTATTGAATCAAAATTGATTATACATATTTTGGGAGTTCGACATTGAGATATGTTGATCAAATCAATATTACTGGCATATATATTGTTACAAATCATACTTATATTTTATGCCCCTTCTCCAATCTCTCCCCACCCCCCTCTCCCTCTCCTTCAGTTGATTTCTTGCCTAGATGATCTGTCCAATGTTGAGAGGTGTGATCAGGTCCCCCAATATTATCACAGATGCTTCTTCTGTCACTCTGGAATGGGCTTTGTGGAGAGAGACATCCTCTTCTTTTCTTTATCTCTGCTGGTGACTCTCCTGGTGTCAATGCACTCCAGTGGCTGACGGACCATGTGTGGTGGTTATGGCGTCTAGCCGCTTTCATGGCAGCCATGGTTATTGTGGTGGCTGTGGTGGGCCACCCACATGGAGGTGATGTTTTTGGCATGCTCCTTAGCACTGGCGGTGTGCCTGGATATGGGGAGGGGGGGTCCTGTCCCCAGCTCCATCCCTCAGGTCTCTGCACAGACCCCAAGGTGCTGGTGCGGCGTGCCTGGTTGAGGGGTGGGGTCAGGCTGCTTTTACTCATGGTGGAAAGTGGTAGGCAGC